AAATGATTTAATGGGCATGCTTTTTCACTAATAGATCTGGTGTATCACTAGAAGGGTCTGGAGATGAAGATATGGACGATGAAGGAGGTTTGTGATTATTTTGTTTRTGACTATAGAAATAAAACAAAAAAKAGACTTGAACTGAACTTGGAAATCTATTAGTTTTTGAACATATTTACTAGTAACAAAAAATAAATTACATGATCACGCAATAGAAAAGAGTATAAAAGGATTACTAACCAGGTCCACGATGCTTGTGAGCATTCAGACCTTGCCAAAATTACAAAGAAATGTATGGTGTCAAGCCAAAATGTCCAGCTCTACATACATTCTTTGTCTTTCTATAGATATTTAAGCAAACTTGATTTCCATTTCTCATACAAAGTATGACACTAAAAACACTTGCAGAAATATTTCCGACCTGATTTTATAATTCCTACTTGTAGTTTAGATAAGTGTGTTTGATCATTTACACTCATCAATTATACGTGTTTCCACTTACCATAACCTACAAACATGAGGTAACATTTGTACTTACCATAAGGGCAAACCCACTCATGGTTAGCGCGAAACAGTGAAATATGTTATCGTAAGTGATAATACGAACACGTGATATGACTATCACTAATCATGAGTGCGTACAGACTTTACAGATTTTACAATATTTCTTCTGCTCAAACATCTATGAACATTTCAGGGTTTAGTTGGCTTATCATCGGTCTCATTTATTTTAGCTAAATTTTGTGTTCCTTTTAACAATCAATAATGCAGTATAATATATAGAGGATATTACACGGTGGCGCGAAGATATGGATTTTATTTTCAAGTGATGGAAACAATATTTTACGAGTGAACGCAGGGAACGAGTAAAATATTGTTTTTACTAGGAGAAAATAAAATTCATATCTTCAAGCCACCGTGTAATGTTCTTTTTATTATATGGATAAACTGAAGCAAACAAAATTAAGAATAAATGTTGAATTTTAATGCAAAGAAAACTTAGAAATATTCATTACAAATGAGCTTGCTGAAAATCGCACAACTGAATATTAAAAGTTTACCAAAAATTGATATCAAAATATAAAAAAAATGTCTCTTTAAAATTTAAGCTTACTGACTTTGGCTGCTCTCCTCGCTAGAAGATTCGACAATAAAGATGAACTCCATAAGAATGTTTTGAAGCTCAGAAAACATCAGTGTTTCTATCTCCCTGWCTTCGTTTATAAAGGCCATGTATTCCCTGAATATTCGAAGGTYGTCATTGTGTTTTGGTTCTCATTTTCTTTTGAARATTTATCCACGTCTTTCTCTGAGATTTGTACAAATCGAGCCACCATATTTACAATGTACAACTCAGTGAACAAGYGACAAGAAATGGGCAGGAAAGTTGTTTTGATTTGAYGCGCGCGTACATCYGGGACATTTTGGTACATAACTTTTTCATATCTTCACTAGTGAAAATATGGAAAATATGAGTGTTTTAGTTTCCGGTAAAACACTACTATCCATATAATRAATAGTAATTCATAWCATTTTTTTAGTTTTTGCAAGAGAATATGACTCTGATATGGAACTGAAGGATGAAGCAGATGCCTGGAGTTTAACTGTAGACAAATCGGTAAATCATCATAACATTTTTTTAGTKTTGCCGTTTAGACTCTGTGTTGAGAAAGTTGATGAAAAATCTCAAATGAGTATTTTTGTAGTAATCTGCTTTGAATGACTCAGGGGGAGAACAATTGTTGCTGACAACCTGTTTTACAATGAATCATCATCATCAACGTCACAACAATTGACTTGACCACCCTCCCAGAGGTTGAAAGGAGTGTTAAAAATGCTCTCCATCACCAAGTCCATCTACGCAAAGCAGATTTGAGATTTTTGATCGACTTGCTGACCTTTGGAAAWATATTTTGAGACATTTTGCAATTAGGTGACTGCATGTATTTTATAATTTTTAGATTTTTAAAAAAATGAATGCAAAAGATGTCAAGAGACAAGATGTTATTCATGGTAAATAAGTGTTTGCAGAATATTAAACTATTATCATATGAATGTACTGCAGAGGGCTGACAATTCTTGACAATATCTTTTTTTTCCTTCACAGAGCTGATTCAAACAGAAGAACACTATGTTGTAACACTCAAGATCATGTTCAAAGTAATTTCCTTGACATTGTTATAATTATCAACATTGTGTGTTTGATATTTAGTTGGACTACTGTAATTCTCAAAGTGTTGTTTGAAGGCTGGCTTACTGGTTGAACACATGTTTGTTGATGGCAAAATGATGGACRGGGAAAACTGATTGCAGGGGTTTTTAGGAACTAAAACACTGCTTCGCAAAAAAATATTAATGTCATCCCTTTTCTTTACTGTCGTTTGTTTTTGTCTTAGCTTCCATGGTACAACCTTTTTAAACGCGCAAACGTTTAGTGATTAGTTAGATTCTTATCAAGATTGTGTTTTCTTTCAGATTTTCYATAGTGGCATGATTAAGGACTTACATCTACCAAAAGACATGGTTAATTCAATGTTTCCACAGGTTGAAGAACTACTTGATCTGCATTGTAAGTTAATTCTCACATATTGTGGGTGCAATTTATTAACACATCATGATTAATTAACATGAATAATTTCACATATTTTCTTTTTCAGCAAATTTTCTGAATTCAATGAAGGCAAAGGAAAATAGTCAAACAGTTGTGGAGAGAATAGGCGATGTCTTGGAACATCAGGTATCTGAGTGATAAAAGCTTTTCTATGTAAGAGCTAAATTACCARGAATGCTGGCTACAAACCACATTAATCATTAGGGACATAAGCGCACATGGCTTGTTGCTTGTTGTTGAGTTTTCGATTTTTATGGACATGCCAAATATAGCCCAGATTTGTCTAGATATAGCCCTTGAATTTGTAATTTCAGGGAAACCATTATGACACAATTATACAGTCTCACGCAAATAACAATTTAATCAGGTTAAATGAGAAAATATTTAGTTAGTATAGATAAACTGAGACTATATTGACTTAAAGTWGTGATACTATAATGACGGTTCGGTGCCAAATCATATCTTTGTATCATGGCAATATCTATTGTAGCTCAATTCTGTAGCTCTATGAAATCCTTTTTTCTTACCTGCCTGCAAATTGCAGCAAAGCAATTCTGTTGTACATCTTATTGTTTATGATTTATACTTCAAAAGATAAATAGGAAATTCAATTTGTTTGGTATTAAATTATGCAAATAAAGATAATATTGTACTAGATTATTAACTTTTTTCATGACCAAGACTTTTGAAGTTTTGTGTTTTTAAAATTCTGCAGTTCAGTGGTTCTTYAGGTGAGCGCATGAAAAAGGCTTATGGAGATTTTTGCAGCCATCACACTGAAGCTGTKGACTTATACAAGGTAATGTCGCATACATTTTGCTCTTTACTCCGACGAAGGATTAACATYCGAAACGTCAGTAAGTTATTTCCCATACTTTTTTACGGTGTTAARCTTATCTTTTTTACACTAATGTCGCATACATCTTGCCATGCCCCGTTATAGCCCGCATTATGTCATTATTCACCATGATTGCCTGGCAGGCTACTGGCAAATTATTAGTAGTTAATTTGAGAGCATTATGCTGTGATATTTTCCCACGAAAACTGGATGTTCTCAAAAACAAATAGTCACCAAAGAACGCAGTTTGACAGTTTCCTTAGGCAACTATCACAATGATCGAGATTTCAAATGCTCTATTGTTTTTAATATTCAACAACAAAATTTTTCTGAAGTAGCGAACTAAATGCACTATACGTTGCGTGGTCGATTCTCCACCAATGAGAGCGGAGGAAATTTGTTGCTATTGTCTCATCAACATTGATTTGGTAGTAGTAATTACTAAATAGATGTTTCACGCATTAGGTTTGCCCACTCTATGATACCAAATTTGTTTTTCAGAAATTGTATAAAAACGATAAAAAGTTTGCAGATTTTGTAAAGGTAAGAGTTATTTTTTTAAACWGGGATTTTTTGTTGGGCTGTATATCTWTTGCTTTTTAAGTGCTTCCATTGTATTCCCCATAGTACTTTCCATCGTATTAATATCAGACGTCAGCCATGAGAGCAGCCTTTTTCTCTGGCTTCTTTCGCAGTAGCCCCCCGTGTTTTCAAGGAAGTATTTCATTGATTACAAAGGAGTGAGATGGTCGGAGATCTTAATTATATATATGGCTCTATATACTGTATAGCTCATTAATTACTAGTATATAAAGCTTATTAATTTGATAAGTTTCTTTTTAATGCGGAATGATAACAAAGTATTTCTTAGGACTCTGATATGAACATGGCCGCCAGCCAATGAAGTGATGTTGTACCTTGAAATTGTTGATTTTGTCATTTGCAGAAATGCAGTGTAAATAAGATATGCAGACGTCTATCTATCCCAGATTGCATCACTTTGGTTACTCACCGCCTGACCAAGTACCCGCCATTGTTTGAGGCCATCATCAAGACTACTAAAGGTACGAAAAGASCACACTTCTTGTAAAACAGTGCAAACACTGAACCCATGAAAAACTTTATTGATTAAATTGCACTGAATGATGTTTGTTTTCTTATGTCTATCTTGCACTATATGGCACTATATCGACACTATAGTAAAGTAAAAAGCCTTAGAGTGATCGCACTTAAACCGTGCAACTGTACAAATCTGAGAAGTACTAACTACTTTGTACTAGAGTGGTTTTCATAAACCCGTGAAAAGTGTAATAATTAGAGTGTAATAGATCGTAATAGTCGCGTGAGACAATAAAAAACAAAAGAGGCAAAGTGTAATAGCGATAAATACGCTAAAGTGTGTTTCACGGGTTAATGAAAACCACTCTACGATATTGAATGCTTCATTTGTATCAATTCAATTTAATTTGCGTACCGCATGCACGATTTACTAAATACAATCATTTAGTTTGTACAGTTGCACGGTTTAAGTGCGATCACGCTAGTACGCTGTAATTTTATTATTTTCATTTAGAGTGGTTCTCATTAACCCGTGAAATACACTTTAGCGTATTACACTTTAYTACAMTTTGKCTCTTTTGTTTTCTATTATATTTCTTGGCTATTACACTTTATTACACTTTGACTATTACACTTTGTTTCACGGGTTAATGAGAACCGCTCTATTTGACTATCACACTTAAATAGTCACATTGTATTTCACGGCTTTAATGACCTCAATCTAGTGCTAGCACCCTATGACGCTATTTCTAATTACTGATATTTCTTTGTAGAAATAAAGGCTGATCATCCGTCTTTGAAAAAAGCAACCAACTTAGTCAAGGTAAGTCACACTGATTCGGCGCTTAGAATATGTTATTAGTTTTCTTTAAGAATTTATCAAGTCGTTTATATCACACTTACGTAAAATGCTGGTTTCTGATTGCCTAGCCTTCTGTGGTTTTTTTTTCTTAATCCGTTAGTACCACGCGTACTATATTTTAGGCAGATTAAAAAACTGTGCGTCGCGTCGCTATTCTGCGCACCAAAGCCTGAATCGAGTTGCAGTCCTCACACTTTTTAGTAAAAAAAAACAGTTCTCCTAAAGCTTTTTTGCCTTTTCTTTGTATAGTTGTGCTGTGTTTACAATTAAAACATAAAAACGGCTTTTGGGGCGATTTCCAAGAGACTGTAAAAAGTGAGACTACAACTCCCATCATGTTTTGTTGCGCATGATGGCGTTACTGCGCATTACACGAATCTATCCCGACGTGCACTGCGACTCTATGTGTTTCTGATCATCCCATACTTCCTGTAGATGTGATGTTTGTTTATGGCTTGATACCACCGCTCGTGGAACTAAACCATCAATTTGTTTCTCACTAATTCTTGTCGAACAGCTATTCAGTATGTTGTTTTTTGTTTGTTTTTGAACAGGGTGTTTTGTATTCTGTGGATAATTCAATCAATGAATATGAAAAACAAAAGGTAGGTTGTGTATTAACATTATTGTATACTCTAGGGACGACGTACTTAATCATCGTGAAACTTAAACAATACAAAATAGTACCAAATTATTCTATTCCTTTGTTTTCTATTGTCTATTTAGTTCTATTTATTCTAATGAGTTTTAGAGTGGTTTTCATTAACCCGTGAAACAAAGTGTAATAGTCAAAGTGTAATAAAGTGTATTATCATATAATTATCTATGAAATACCTATATTTCTCCATTTCGTAAAATTGATATTTTCACTAGTGAAAATAACACATTCGAGGTTTCTCTATATAGTAAAAGTTGGAAAAAATATATTTTACGACATAATTTGCTTTCATATGTAATTATATGATAAACAGAATATTACATGGTCGCTTGGAGATACGAATTTTATCTTCTCGTGTTGAAAATCTCTCACTCGTTCGCTACGCTCACTCGTGAGAGATCTTTTCACCACTCGAAGATAAAATCCGTATCTCCGCGCGCCCATGTAATATCCTCTATATAGCCAAGAAATATAATAAAAAACAAAAGAGACAAAGTGTAATAAAGTGYAATATGCTAAAGTGTGTATTTCACGGGTTAATGAAAACCACTCTATTTTCATTAAACCTGTGAAACAAAACCTGACGGTTAATGTGTGATAGTCAAATAGACACAAAAGAAAACAATGCAATTAGAGCGTACTAAGGTGTATTAGTGTACAGTCAACTCTCGGACACCCCGTTACAACGGACACCTCGATACTGCGGACAGTAAAATACTGAATCCCAGGTGAAAAATACAAAGAAATGACTGAAAGTAACTCTCGTTACTACGGTCTCTCGCTACTGCGGACACTAAATAATGGTCCCGAGTGTGTCCGTAATAACGAGATGAATATGAGGACCGCATTGCACTATGATAGAACGATATAGAAATGAAAGAAAGTTATAGTGCTTAGAAGGAGGCAATTCCGGGAGAAAGACCCTGCTCCCAGTCTGGCCTTGTAGCTCAGCTGGTGGAGCATCTGTAGTACAAATCCGAAGGTCGTGGGTTCGAATCCCAGCAAGGTCGGAAATCAATTTTTCCGAATTTATTCCTAAGGGTCTTTCTCCCGAAATTGCCTCCTTCTAGGCACTATAACTTTCTTTCATTTCTATATCGTAATAACGAGAGTTGACTGTAATGCCTATTTCGCGTTTTTTTTTTTTTTTTTTTTTTTATTCTAACCCGTGATACCTTATTTACACTTATTTATATGTATTTGTTTTAATTAAGACTTTGAGGAACATCAAGATGAGAATGGATCTCAAAGTAACGATAACATACAAAGGAAGCAAAAAAGTGAAGGTATTCCCATCAAAGTGATGACATTATTGACTTGCCATAAGTCGAACTATTTTGGCGAGCGCGCAGTTGTTGTGGAAAAAGGCTAATATTTTTCAGTTGTAAAAATCATTTGTTATTATTTATAGAATATAGACTTTGCATCCAATTCAAGTGCACTTCTCCACGAGGGCATGTTGYTATGGAAGACAGCGCGCGGCAAGTTTGTTGGTAAGATATCTCTATTATTGTGATTGGTTCAGTTGAATTTGAACTGCGCCCGCATGTTTTCTCCATAATCGTGGTTAATCATCACATCAGACGTCTTACATCAGTCTTACTATTTGCAGAGTGTGTTGTTGTGATACTGGACGACATGTTGGTGTTTTTACAAGAAAAAGATCAGAAATACTCCTTATTGTCTTTAGACCAAAAGGTAAGGCTATGTAAAGCTATTAATCGAACATTCCCATGAGATTCAAAAGATAAAAGACCGGCGGCCATGTTGGAGGAATGACCAATAGACACTAATGAGAAATYYTTTGTCCAAGATGGCCGCTATTGCGAAAACCAAGAATCTTTTGATGTTTGTCTTTTGTCTCTTTATTGATGGTTTTCARCCATTCCCATGAGAGTGATCAAAACAAAAAGGTCCACCAGTCACGGTGGTGGTTTTCTTTTGTCAGGTCCACCAGCAATGGCGGAC